TTCTCAACTTGAGCACTCATTTGAATATTACTCTCAACTGCAGAGTAACGTTCAAATTAACTCTCAAGTTGAGAATAACACAGACATAATTCTCAAGTTGTGCATAACACTTACATCAGCACTCAAGTATGAGGGTAACATTCAAGTCGAGTGATTATACTCAATTGAGTGTTCGAATTTACGCGCAAATTGAATGTTATTTATGTATTTTTTATTTTTTTTTCCGTAAGAAAAGACAAGCATTTTTCGAATATATTCCATTGGATCAAGTAGGGAACAAATTATTGTTCACAGATATATTAGATTAATATAGTTTATATTAGTTAGTAGAACTATTAAATGACTGCATGCTATCGCGTGCACACTCCCATTGCTCCTGTTGTAGAAGCTGAGGAATTTAAAATTCCTGTTTATTTACTATATTGAATCACGAATTTACCATAACAATTTAAATCAAGAATAAAAAATTGTGTGAGACTTTTTCTATCGGCAACGTTATGCAAGGTGGATTATTTGAAAATCTTAACTGTTCTTATTTCTGGATACTTTAACTTTTCGATATACTACATATTTTTTGGATTATTTACGACGATGATGATAAATAGGGTCCATCTTGTATAAACTCCCTTCTGAAAATAAACAAAAGCGCGGATATATCGTAAATCGCACAAATAAATAGTCAACTGACGGATACATATATATTTTCAGTATTGACGGAAGCTAAATATCAAAAAATAGAGAATAATATTATAATTTCACTTCCTTCTTGCTAAATCAGACATATATTTAAATAACACGAAACAGCAAGCAATTAGACAGAACGCAAATAGGGAACAACAGAAATAATTGGGACCTCAGTTACTCAATGGGAATTTGACTTAGATGAAAGGACGAGGAAAGAAGGAATAAATCATCGAGAAATGAACATAACTAGGAGCATACACTGAACACGGGCACATTGCCAAAAATTGTGGACAAATAGGATTAATATACACCTAACACTCACAAGCAGATCTACAGTTAGACCAATCAACTTTTTCGTCTATAGAGCGACTCATATCGAATACTTCCGGACGATTCATTGTCATATTCATCCTGATTTCGATCGTGCATGTACAATAGTCTAGCCAATTATTCAACATTTCTCTGCTTTATTATCACGTATCTCCCAATATAACTGAATTCTCGATTCTTAATCATCACTGTAACCTCATGCGCTACCATTGTCATGAAGTGGCCTGCGATCGTACATCATACACCACACATATACACACACACATGCGCGCGTGCGCGTATACACACGTGTACGTGTGTGTGCATATAGGTACGATTACATACATGCAGACGTATCTAGATTATACAAACTGCTGTGACTTCTTACGGAATGTACGTCGATTCACTCGCTATTCACTCGCAAACGGTAACGTACATGCGTAACTATGTTTCAACAGACCAATGAGAACGACGATGCATCCCTTACAGGATCGGTGATAATTGAGAATCCAAAAATATTTGTAGCACCGAATGGCACTGAGTGATATTCCAAAAATTCATGACAACCATTTCTCCATCATGTATGATAAACGCATATTACGACTGTTTCATTTTGCAATTACGCGTTTCATTTTACAATTACGCGAGCAACGAGCAATAGAATGATTACGAACTAGTATTCGACACGAGTTCACAATTACTATTCTGACATCCAAAATCACGTTAATAATACCTAGCAAAACGAAACTTTCCAACAAAATCTGACAAAAACAAGGTAATATACCTCATACCAAAAACCATCTCCAAGAACTTTAGCGAGGAATCAACTATTCGGTGAAACATAGATTTCACAAGTAATAGTTAACGAAAGTATTGCCATTATAGTGTATGTATTTGTGCACATCATACATACATACATGTATACAAGGAGTTCTGTCTGATTTTGTTTCAAATTGTATGAAGTTTTGTGTTCCAACAACACTACAAATCCGAATATGTTATTTTGACACGTATAAGCTGAAATTTTCTTTATACGTTTCTTCGTTTTAAATTACATCATTTAATGTATTTAGACATCATTTAACACATTTTAAACATGCTAAATGATGTAATTCAGGACGTCAAGAAACGTGTAAATAAAGTTTCAACCTATATGTTTCAAAATAACACACTCGGATTTGCAGTAAATAATTTGGTCAAGTTAATATATTATAGTATAACTGATTTGTGTGTGTGTGTGTGTATGTATGTGTTTGTAAGTGTGTATGTATGTAATTTATCCCTTTAAAATGCCTTTTATAGTGCCCAATATTTCACGTGCACAACTTTATTGATTATTATTTTTTTTATATATAAATGGATTAACTTTTATTTCTGGAGAAAATTATTTAAAATCCATTACACAATATTCCTAATTAAAATATTCCGCCAATAAATTTATAAGGGATTCAAGCAAATTCAAATAATACCTGGTAAATTCAAGTAATATATTGAAAAGTAAGAAAAATGATGACGAGAGAGAGAGAGAGAGAGAGAGAGAGAGAGAGAGAGAGAGAGAGAGAGAAAGAGAGAGAGAGAGAGAGGTGTTTATAAGCTTGCGTCAAAATGCAAAGTAGTCTCGTCTTAAACAACTATTATAAAAGTATTATATAAGCAAATTCAAATTATTAAAACGCAAATGTCTGTAACTCGGAACTACGATCAAATTAACTATATATTTATATAAACCATTTATATTTTCATGTATCAAATCAGTCTTTTAAGTAATTCACACATAAAATTCTCATATATATATATATATATATATATATATATATATATATATACTATAAATAGTTTATTTTGTTGTCTTTACCTTAATATATTTTTCCTATATGTGTTACAAAAAAATGTTTCAGACAACAGTCGTTTGATACTAATTGCAGAAAACTATTATATACTAATGTGCAAAATATAATAACGGTAATTTCATATTAAATAGCATTTTCAAAATCGAATAAAGGTCATCATAATTTCTTTATATGAAATCATACATATTTATTTACATTTTTACATAGGTACATCAAGAAATGTTTCCTGTTCCGCTAATTGTTTATAATTTCCTTTAATTTATTAAAGAATTTTGTTAAAATAAATGTTCAAACTTATGGATAATCTATGCTTAACGCTACCTAGGATCATCAACATAGATGTGATAAATATTTGATCCCTTTTAGAGTCTCTTTTTAGCGAGAATTTATTTGGCTCTCATATTTGAGAATATTTAACATTACTAAAAATATCCAAATAAATTGCCATTCATATTGATGCACCGCATTATATAATGTCGAAAACTTGCTTGAATCTTTTACAATACATCCATAATGTTGTTTGTAGCAACTTGTTTAGTACGTCGTTTCATTTTATTAATTATGTTCATAATTCATGTTATTAATAAAATTAGTTAAATTGCAAAAATCTTTTTTTGCTTCGATTGATTGACTCTTTTGTGACAATTGACAATTTTGTTAAACACTATATAAAAGGCAAAGGACTTTACATTAAAAAAGTATAACAGAAAGAGATAAATATACATCTACGTCGTTAATTCTGAATGATATAAAATTATTCACTATAATTTTAGAAAATTATAAATATTTGACAAATAAAAATAATATTGCAAATAAAAATACTATTTTCCGAGAAAATCTAAATGTAATTTATACAGAAATGAAGACGAATATTGTGGTTCTATTTAAAAAAAAATTATGATGACCGTTATCTGAATTTGAAAATGCCACTTATAAAATCAAGTTACCGCAGTTATATTTCCTCCTTAGTCATGTATATATGTATGTGTAAATATGGATATGTATGTATGTGTTGTACATCTCTCTCTCTCTCTCTCTCTCTCTCTCCTCTCCTCTCTCTCTCTCTCTCTCTCTCTCTCTCTCTGTGTGTGTGTGTGTGTGTGTGTGTGTATGTCGTGCGTACATGTGTACGTGTATGTGGAGATATGTGTATAAATAGGCAAGCATCATTCTCTCCACTGATCGATACATACTGATTTCCTCTCTGCTAATATCGCATCCTCTAATCTGTGATCCATGTCACATGTCGCATTACTAATGCTACGGGGCTAATAGCTGAACTGATCAAGAGAGCTTGTTCTACGGAGATATATTCTCTATAACGATATATTATTTTCTAACAAAATCATATTTGCCGTTTCGCATATTCCGGAAGATTTCGAAACATACATATGATGTATATTCCGCATATTTTTCTAAATAAAGCGCGATAATTCTAATGTTATATTCGAATTTAAATTTCATCTGTACTCGCCGTACAAATCAATCTACCGTCATATTAAATTTCATCGGATAATGTGTGAGAAGTCATTATTCAAATAAGCGCGTTTCAAATATCTCCTTTTTTATCAACATGAACCTTTGTAGCTTAACTCTTCGATTCTGCGGTATCTCGACTTGACATATTGAGCAAAGTAATACAATGTAAATCGAAGAAAAAGTTGGATTACTATGTAAATCTCCGGTTCACCTATAATATTCCATTGGTATAAGGAAAATAAAATTATTCTTCTATAATATTTCTTCCTCCCGTACTTTTTCCTTCAACGATCAATATATTAACGAACTTCCTTTTTATAAAAGTGAAAGCTCTTGATCGGTTTTGCTATCTTACAATCTGGGTCTAAGTGTGTCAGATATGTTATATATGTAAAGAAACTCCTCGTATCCTGAAGATTGTAAAAAGTTACGTGACAAAACTATGCATATTTTCTAGGTAACTCAACGAAAACGAGAATATGATGAACGTAAACGACAATGGTAATCGGAACAATTGTAATCGCCGGCAAGTAACAACCAAAGAAACGACAGTGGTAATATAAATAATCTAGCGTATATAGATATATTTATACGTAGAACACTGAGTTTTGAATTAACGAACGCTTGAATTAAGAAAGAGCAATTGGCCTTGGTTTCAGGGTTACTAGGCAGGCACACCTTGCTGGTTCGGTCTGGTTGGGGCGGTGTCGCCCGACGCTCGTAGTGCCTCTCCGGCTGTTGATAAAGGGGGATCTGCAAACCCATTCGGAAACGTGTTCTCGCAGTACACCTAATAGTCCATTTGTACACAGACTGCCCAGTAAATCATAATAAAATCGGCAATAAAGCAACTCTTCGTGAGAAAAAGAGTCGAAAACGCGAAATCAGCAGTTATTTTCTGTGTAAGATTTTGCTTATTACTTACAAAGAAATGCGCCTGACGACGCAATATTTTTCCATTCTTTTTAAGCAAGATGACAATATTCAGAGGCTTTTGCAGTCATACGTCACATATTGTCTGATTAATTTGTACAACGGCGACCATAAACGTATAAGTAAAATCATAATCTGAGTCATCAAAAAAGTCACATATAATATACAAACACACATATCACATATAACACACAATATCTTTTTTTTGAACAGCGTATATTGGTAATAATTATTAAAATTAATTTTGTTGAACAACGTAACAATTTCGTTGAAGATCATCTAGACATAGAAAATTATTGTACGCAAAAGCATTATTACTTCGTCGATTTAAAATCGATTTCTTCGGAATAAAAACCTCGTATAATAAAAAAATTAATCTCATATTCTCGACTCATTTATTCAAGAGAAATTGTTTCCTCGTCGACTGTATTACGATTTACTTGACGTCTTACATATTGTTTTCTTTGACTTGTGTGCATGTCGAGGGAAAGAAAATGTGGACAACTAGTATATGTACATGACGCGCGCGCGCGCGTGTGTGTGTGTGTGTGTGTGTGTGTGTGTGTGTGTGCGCGCGTGTGCGCGCGTGTGTGCGCGTGTGTGTGCGCGTATACATGTGCGTTTGCGTGTACATGTGCGTTTGCGTGTGTATGTGCGTGTACGCGCCGGCGTGTGTGTGTGTGTGTGTGTTTGCCTGCTTCGCATCCAAATGCTACTTGTATAAAAAAACGGCAAGCTACACTTAAAGAAACGATACACCATTTTAGAACATGAGTTACGAAGTGTATTGAAGTTCACGTGTCAATGTTTGAACATTTGTTCTCAACGTACATACATATATAATTCATTATTATTATATGTAAGTCAACAAAATTTAAACTGTCCATCGCAAAAATTAAATCCTAACTGTGTTCATATAAACCTTTTTTTTACAAATACCTATATACTACCGTCTTTCAAAATATTTCTCTCTTCTCTCAATTTATCCTATACAGGGTGATCCAAAATTCTCGCATTCGGAGTACAGGACATGATATTTTATGGTAAAATAAACAATTTTTTCCTTCAGCAAAATTGCGTCCGACAAGTAGTTTTTGCAGGAGAGCGTGTCAAAGTTAATGAATAAGCGCTCTTGTCTATGTAACGCCCAGAGCCGGCGCGCGCGCCTCACTCGTGTATAGCTAGTCAGTGACTAGTATTCATAAGTAATGTCTTTTAAGATGCTCATACGGCTTTGTTGTGATTAGTTTACGATATCTTAAGACAATCTTGTACTTAAGACAATCTCAAATAATAAGAATCAACTATGAACAATACTAGAATTTGACCTTTTTTCATATTGTATTGCTTAAATAATGAAAAGTTAATAAAATAAGTACTGCCTTTATTTCTTACGTAGTAAATGAATAAAAAATTGTTTGATTGCACTATATTATCTGAAAATAAAAACAAATGTAAATAGTAATATGCTTTGTGAGATGTGAAATCCCGGTATTGTTTATAGTTGATTCTTATTATTTAAGATTGTCTTAAATACAGTCTTAAGATGTCGTAAACTGATCACAACAGAACGGTATGAGTGTCTCAAAGGCATTACTTATGAATACTAGTCACTGACTAGGTATACGCGAGTAAGGTGCGCGCGTCGATCTTGAGCGCTACATAAACGACAGCGCTTATTCGTTAACTTTGACACGCTCTCTTGCAAAAACTACTTGTCGGACGCAATTTTGCTAAAGGAAAAAGTTGTTTGCTTTAGCATAAAGTATCATATCCTGTATTCCGAATGCGGCAATTTCGGATCACCCTATATATACTACTCAAAACAATTAGGGGAGCGCTTGAAAACTTGTAAAATTTGATGGTTTTTAAGAAGCCATATTTCAACTTAGGGAGGTCGTAGAACAATGTTCAAGGGCGCATCTTAACGGGTGAAGCCTCGAATTTAAAGAGGCTAAGGTTTCATTATTCGTCTCATCGAATGGTTTTTCTTGTGAGGCCCAAGATCAGATCGTGAAAAAATTGTGAAAATTTCATGATTTCATGATTTTGTAGCCATACACGAATAAAGCAGGGATGGAAATAAAAATGGCACCACACTCGCCTTGAAGTGGGAAACTTCCCCTTTAAAACGCCGCAAGGAACATTGTTCTATCACACCTTGGATCCGAGTTGTCGCATTTCAAAGTCACCCCTGCATTTTGCAAGATTTTTAGCAACACCGCCAGCATTCACGTTAACCGATGTGCATCACACCACAGGGAGGTTACTCGGTTGGATTTTGCACATCACGTGTATGGTGTATATGTACGTTAATATGAAGTGTGCGTGTGCGTGTGCGTGTGCGTGCGTGCATGCGTGTGTGTGTGTGTGTGTGTGTGTGTGTGCGCGCGCGCGCGCGCGTGTGTGTGTGTGTGTGTATGTGTGTGTGTGTCAGCAGAGATAAAGACCCTCTTCTATTAAAATGATTACTTGCGCTACTTTATTTTCGCTAAGATGTTTCATTTTCATGTATGTGAGTATATGTAAATTGTGCTACTTAACCCATTAACGTCCAAAACTCCTAAAATATTACTTTTGCAACTTATTATTTTGCCTTACTTTGCAACTGTATTTTATGCAGAGAAACATAATATTATATAAGGTTGGAATAGCATTTCCTTATGTTTTCGGGGTCGTTCTACAAGATTCCGGCATCAGAATTCGTTTAGATTCACAATAAAATCCAATACGGCGGAATTTTTGGAAAAAACTCGTGTAAAATCGACAATTTTATTTTTTATAAGCTTGATTTCGTATCAAAAACGTTACTTTGATACAGATACAAGTGTCACATCTTGTCTCAAAAATGTTGAACTTTCAAGGTATGTATTGGTGAAAATGTGAATTCAAGATGGCTGCCTCAAAATTACGGTTTGAGCGAAAAAAACTTAAAATATAATGTATTTTTAGAATAACTTCGCAAAATTCTAGTATTTAGCATCAATTTAGTATCCAGGGTACTGATTTTAGGATATTTGCTGACAACCAATTCATATTAAAGAATTTCAAAATGGCGGATCCAAGTCGACGACTAAAAGGCACGAATAATCGTGAACATTTCCAGATTTTCACGAATTTTCTTTTATTGAATATGAAATGATTGATGATGAATATGAAAATAATGGAAGAAAATTCGTGAAAATCTTGAAATGTTCACGATTATTCGTGCCTTTTAGTCGCCATCTTGAATCCGCCATTTTGAAATTCTATGATTCTATGATTGAATTCTGATATTAACCTACATATACACCATACACGTGATGTGCAAAATCCAACCGAGTAACCTCCCTGTGGTGTGGTGCACATCGGTTAACGTGAATGCCGGCGGTGTTGCTAAAAATCTTGCAAAATGCAGGGGTGACTTTGAAATGCGACAACTCGGATCCAAGATGTGATAGAACAATGTTCCTTGCGGCGTTTTAAAGGGAAAGTTTCCCACTTCAAGGCGAGTGTGGTGCCATTTTTATTTCCATCCCTGCTTTATTCGTGTATGGCTACAAAATCATGAAATCATGAAATTTTCACAATTTTTTCACGATCTGATTTTGGGCCTCACAAGAAAAACCATTCGATGAGACGAATAATGAAACCTTAGCCTCTTTAAATTCGAGGCTTCACCCGTTAAAATGCGCCCTTGAACATTGTTCTACGACCTCCCTAAGTTGAAATATGGCTTCTTAAAAACCGTCAAATTTTACAAGTTTTCAAGCGCTCCCCTAATTGTATTGAGTAGTGTATATATATACAAGATGTTTCATTTTAATTTCTCCAGACAAATAACTCAGAAAGTGAAAAAGATGAACAAAAGTGTTGAATATAAAAGTTATAGTGTTTGGATAGAAACATACAATGAAGACATTGACCTTAACCTTAGGAACAAATTCGAGGATATTTGAAGGTCAACTTCGATTCTTTAAATGGAAACCTGAATTTTTTATTACACCGTCTTATTTTACCAATTAATTTGAACAACTTTTGTCTAAAACATTTTTTTATTTGCCTAATATTTTTTGTGATATTTAAAAAAATTTGTTAACTATTTCAATATTTAACTTACGATATTTCGTTAACTAATTTATCGGATGAAAAAGTAATATAAGACGTTTTTGCTCTATTTGGTTTCAAAAATATATTATAATACAACGCTCTAATGTCTGTTAATTTGATGATTTTGAAATTTCCAAAATTAGTAAGTTAACAAAAGTCAGAGCGCTTTTGTAACAATATATTCTATTCTTAAGACCAAATAGAATAAAAAAGTCTAGTACTACTTTTTTCCGACAAATAGTTAGCGAGATATTGTAAGATAAATATTGAAAAGGTTATCAAATTCTTCTTAAATATCTCAAAAAATATTAGGCAAATAAAAAAATGTTTTAGACAAAAGTTGTTTAAATTAATCGGTAGAAAAAGGCGGTGTAATAAAAGATTGGGATTTCCATTAAAAGAATTAAAGTTGACCTTCAAATGTCCTCGAACTTTCCCAAAATCAAGGTCAAGGTCACTATTGTATTATATATTACATGTCTTCCTCCAAACCTTATAACTTTTGTACTCAACATTTTTCTTCATCTTCTTTACTTTCCGAGTTATTCGCCTCAGAAAATTAAAATGAAACATGCTATATACATATATACAGTGGATGTAAAAAGTTTTGTATCTTAGGAATTCTTTTAGAGAATAGTTTATATCTGTATAGTAATAATTAATAAATACATTTAATAGTCAATTAAATAATCAAATTTAAATATGATAGTCTCTCTTTCTTAACAATACTA